AGCTCTCGTTTTCAAGGTCTCGCTCTTAGCTCTCGATGTCAACAGCTCACGATTTTTTGACTGCCTCTCCGTCTAAGCTCTCGATCTCTCGACTGCCTCTCCGTCCAAGCTCTCGATCTCTCGACTGCCTCTTCGTCCAAGCATCTCTCGATCTCTCAAGAAAGATAATGGGTCTTCTTCTGCCTCTCGATCTTTGAGAACCTACATCTCATCTTCCCTCTCGAGCTCTTATTATATTCAATTCGTTGGTCATAAGTTCAAAATCATGAGTTAATAGTTATGTGTTCAACTCCAATTTTTTTTACAGGAAGCACTGAATCAAAGCATCTCTCGATCTCTTCTTCTGCCTCTCAATCTCAAAAAAGGTAAAAAAAAAAATTAGTCGTTCTCTGTTGGGTTATTTTGGTCAGATTTATGGCTTCTGCTACACAATGTGATGTTGGGTTTATGGTTTTGTGTTGGAGCTATTTTTCTACTGTTTTTCTTGCTTTTGCCACTGTTTTTCTTGCTCTTGCTTTTGGTTTTGCTAGTGTCAGTCTAGAATGAATATAATAAGAGCTCTCCATGAAAGCTATGAATATAATAACAGCGTTGTTCATATCAGATTGGATCCTTTCTTCTTGCTCATAGTCAATGGAAAGACATTGCCTGTTTCATATAGAGTTCAGTCATCACAAAAGATTAGTCACTACATAGGTGGTAGTCTCAATTATATGGACATGTATAAATCATGTATATATGGTGGTAGTTTCTATTAAGAAAGCATATTCTCTTTTTATTATATCGCTGCTACTTGAAATACTTGAAATCTCATGGCTTGTTAAAATCTTGACTTGAAATACTTGAAATCTCATGACTTAGATTTGGCACCCAGTAATTGCTATACGATATTGGGTTCTGTGGTGGTTGATTTCCACCAAATGATGAAACTAGACATACAAGTTTTGTTGAGCATCATTGTTGGGTACTAATAATGATGAATGTTATAGTGTTCATATTGTTCCTTTTTCTCCTCTACATCTTTGTTTCAATCTCTCATTGTGTCTCAAAAATGATATGTGAAATCACTCTTTTTTTTGGTGTATTGTTTTGTTGTTTCACATAAACAATTGCTTTGTTTTCGGGTAGAAATCAGTTTCGTTTGGTTTAATCTAATTTGTGATATGATTTTTAGGAAATGGAAGGGATGAGAGATTAGGATTGGAGGAGGAAGAAGAGAGCAAAGAAGAGGAGAAGCTGAGGAGGAAGATGAGAGGTGAAGTACTTTTTGTTTTTTGGTTTTGTGTGTGGCGATCATAGTAGGGAAGACCATCATCATGCTGATGAAGATGGCCTTACTTGTTTAGTTTTTGGTTTTTTGGTTTGATACCTCTCTTTTTCTAGCTCTTTTCTTCTATATATGAGTTATTTTTTGAGTATGATCAAACCAATGAGCAAGGGGATGATGACAACACAATTAATGCAAATTGAATATTGATTTTAGTTGTTCTGAGACTTTGTTCGTGTTTATATTGATTCAGATTTCAGACGTAAAAACAAATAGTCTGACTGATTCAGATTTCAGACTTCAGACGTAAAAACAAACAGTCTGACTGATTCGGATTTCAGACTTCAGAACCACCTCTTAAAATTCAGAAATGAATTCAGATTTCAGACTTCAGCATCTTTTAAAAAACAAACGTCACCTAAATCATTATCGAAACTCTTAATCATTCTAAACACTTAATGATTTTAAATCAAATTATTCAACATCTTCCAACAACCCTTCATAAAAACCGTATTTTTGTTACTAACTTCTATTTTATTTTTATGTGGCAACGAAAATGTTAGATGCAAAAGGACATCGACCAATGATGACACCCAAGGCAAGTACATAATGTTAGTGAAATGACGTAAGCGAATTTATTGGTTGGGAGGCGCTCTAACCGTTTTTTAAAGGTCGTTATTATATGTACTTCAACTAATCATTAAACTACTACTATTATTATTATTATTATTATTATTATTATTATTATTATGATTAATTAGATTTCTAAACTTAAGTGATAACATAAACAAATTATTAGCAAATCAAACTTTCTTAACTAATCGAACTTTCATAAAATATGTTCAAGTTAATATATCAAAATTGACATTAAATATTTAGAGAGGAATCAAATACAAACCAAGTCATTTGTATAAATTGTATAACCGTCAATTTTATTATTTAATTTAATCAAATTGTTTAGTATGATGAAATTTGTTTCATGTAATTTTTTTCTTGATAAAACTGTTTCATGTATTTTTCTTTCTATGTAAAAATGAAATTATTTCATGTATTTCTCATTTTGATGAAATTTATTTTCTAAAATTAATATAATTACGATGATAATGTCCATAATAAACGTTCCTATGACTAATTAACCATCATAATTAAAAAAGTGAAAAATAAAAGAAAAATTATGAATTGTTAAATAATTTATACGAATGACTTTGTTTACAATTTTAATTCCTCTTTAAATATTTATTCATTTATAACACACACACACATATATATATAGAGGTATATATGTGTATCGTCCATGTGACATCACCCATCAATCATACGTAGTCATTCAACATGCAAATGAATAATTCTTCACCATCCCCGTTTGCCAAAAGGTTAAGATTCAACGTTGGGTTTCCATAGTTCTTCACACACTCCCAGTTTTTATTTCATGAAACTAATTTTTTACTGTAAGTTTGTATATCAATTAATTAACAGATATATGTTACATTCTTACAGATTGCATGGCAAAGTCGCCATAGTCACCGGTGGTGCAAGCGGTTTCGGTGAAAGCACGGTGAGGCTTTTCACCAAACATGGCGCCAAAGTGGTGATCGCCGACGTCCAAGACGAACTGGGAACTTCATTTTGTGAGGAACTACTTTCTAAACCCGGAAATGTGGTCATGTATGTTCATTGTGATGTTACCATTGATTCCGATGTTCAAAATCTCGTCGACACCACGGTTTCCAAATATGGAAAGCTGGACATCATGTTCAACAATGCAGGTATCTCCGGCGAATCAGATATCACGATACTAGGATCTGATATCAATAATCTCAAGCGGGTTATCGAAGTGAACGCCTTTGGTTCGTTTTTGGGAGCCAAACACGCCGCTCGGGCCATGATTCCGGCAAAAAATGGAGTGATTCTGTTCACTTCAAGTGTGTCTTCTGTGGTTGCCGGAGTTACGTCACATGCGTACGCGATGTCAAAGCACTCGGTGGTGGGGTTGATGAAGAATTTGTGTGTGGAATTAGGAGAACATGGGATACGGGTGAACTGCATCTCACCTGGCGGCGTTGCTACGCCGCTGCTGGTTAATGCGATGGGAATGGAGAAGAAGGTGGTGGAGGATGTGCTGAGTGCATCGGGCACTTTGAAAGGTGTGATGCCGACGGTGGAGGATGTGGCGGAGGCGGCGTTGTATTTGGGTAGCGATGAGGCAAAGTTTGTGAGCGGGGTGAACCTGGTGGTGGATGGTGGTTATAGCATCACCAATTCGTCCTGGCCAACGGTGGTCAAAAGTTTGATGTCTTCAACTTAAGAAGCAAACCCTTTTTCGTATTCGATTCAATGTTTCAACTTGTCATCTTGTATCAGTTTCTGGAGTTTTAGTTTTCGATGTTCAATGAATGTTCCATGAGATTTGTGTTCTCGTCGTCCAATCGAGTTGTATTTACTCACGGACTTTATTACCGATCTGTATTTGTTTGGGTTTAATCTTTATCTGTTACGTGTTTTTGGTATGTTTTGTTGTAGGTTTAATTTGTTTTTACAAGAAAATTTTTGATAAGTGTGTTGTATTTGATTTGTTTCTAATAAAGTTTTATTGCTTTTAAATAAAACATAACTTTTATAATATTAATAGTATGAGAAATACAAGAATCATTTAAAAATCTCGGGTTCAAATCCAAGAAGGAATAAAAATCCTTGTGGCCACGGAGGTTCAAATGCGGTGACTACGAGGTATTTGCAAAGCAGGTGGTCGTCCTAGAATTAATCGGCTTGCATAACGGGTTGGATATCCGGTTTAATAAAAAAAATGATTTCAATGAATCAAGGATGCTATCTCATCACTCGTTACAGAGGGCTATCTGACGGAAGGTGTTTGAATGTGTCATGTTAACAGGACTCTTTTGTTCATTACATTTACGAAATTGTATTTATTTTGATTTTTTATTTAAATTCATATATAGATGATACTTACGTATGTTTTTGGTTCAATACATTTATGAAATTGTCTTTATTTTAATTCTTTATAAATTTACAAGAAATGAATATAATGCCATTAATTTGATTATACGCATCTTTTAGGGTTTATTTTGGGAGGTATTGTTTCCTAAAATTTCTTTTGGTTTTATGTTTGTTTTGTGCCATGAAATTGATATACGACCGACCATGAATTGATATGATTGACATTTCGAAAATTTCCATTTGTAAAATTTCTAAAGTTGGCACATATGTAAAAAATAAAACTGTGACAAACGTGATATCGGACTCCCGCCTCGACTTGATATTATGGATTATTTTTTGTTCTACATATGTTGAAATCTCATTTTTCTACTCGGTGACTCTTTTGATGAGTAACCTGGAGGTTTTCATATTCTCACATGGAATCAGAAACAACTAGCTAGTAATTACTCGGTAATTTGTACTCGTCTGACCCTTCTCGATATCGTAGACAATTAGGGATCGTCACGGCACCTAGTCCTATGATGTGAGTTAAACCATCCCACATACAAAACCAATGTGAAACAAAAATCATTCATACTTTTCAGATTCACTTCTTGCTTACCAAACGTTTAGCAAACATCACTTATTCTCTGAGTGAACATGAGAAGAGCCTAGAACTTTATCTCATGAGTGATGGAGAGTACTCTTACCCAATAAATATTTATCGAAAAAAGACGTTTACCAACAATCCAATTTGGTAGTCGATAATCTCACCCGATAAGATAATGAAGGATAAGCACTTACTCGGGAAACATCTGATAAAACCCTCGAGTTTCGTGGTTAGCGGATTCTACACCATGTAGGTCTTTTTATTTTTATTTTTATTTTTTGTTTTTCCATGTAGGTCTTTTTATAACAAATAAATTATATTAACCAAAACAAAGAAAATCCGAAAGTCACAAGGATGGAATCCGTAATTTAATAATTAATACTAATAAATTAATAATGACAAACTAACATGGGGTTGTTGGTATAAAGGTTGGTTAGAAACGTGTCCCAACCCCCTTAATTAGTGACTGCATACATGCAACCGAATCTACAAGTGCAATATAAAAATATTTTAAAAACATAAGAGTAGTATTTGATTGATTTGAACTTAGCTTTAAAGATCAAACTTACCAGGAGGTCTTAGATTAAAATTCAATGAGGGATACAAATCTCTTTGTGACCACGGAGGTTCAAATGCGGTGACCCTGAGCTATCTGCAAAGCAGGTGGTCGTCCTGGGATTAATCGGCTCGCATAACAAGTTGGATATTCATGTTAATAAAAAAATTAAATGAAACGGAATTCAAAATAAATAATTTAAATATGATTATTTGTTATTGTTAAGGATTAAAATATTAGTGGTTAATTATCAAAAACAATTATACAATAATAGTTATATATTTTCGAAAATATTTATTATATTGAACATATATATTTTGGTAATCAACCTTTTAGAATGCATACATTTTGATATGGGTCTTCTCGTTAGTAAGAAAATGTTAAGTAAACTATATGAGGTGGATAAATAGGTAAGTCCAACGTAGGTTCATTTGAATCGAACCGAAACGAAATACGGAGGTTATTGATAATTCGATTTACGGTTATCTAAATTTATAAAAAAAAATGTTAATTGTAATATAAACACGATATTGAAATAGAACATTTATATCAATTACACAATAACTAAAAAATAATCCAAACGCTACGAATTAAAATTAGTTTAATTGTCTAAATGTAATGATCGGTTTTAAATTTATGAGTTGATGGAGTTTCGAAATAATCAACGATGCAAAATTCAAGGATAAAATGTTATAGTTGATGGAAGATGAGAGACCAAAGGTGAATATTGGTCACCTCTTTGTGATTCAATAAGGATGGTCCAATATCATTTTCGGGTTGATGGTTTTTTTGTAAGGTGATCACATGGTGTGGGGGGGGCGGGGCGGGGCGGGGGTTGGGGGGAGAGGAGGCCGGGTGCAAACCTATGCACCGTCTCACCTCTCTTCTCCTTTTTAGTATGTATATGTAAAAAGTGTTACGTAGATCCAGATAGAGATCAGTTTCGGTTGATATTGTACGAGATGAGTTTTACAAAGCTTTGGTAAAATATATGTTATTATGTTTCACATGATTTACTTTGATACATGAAATTATGTAATGTATTGGATTCAAACTAACATGTCGAAGTATTCTGATAAATATATTAAGTCTGTTATAGTCTTCATCGCCTAACTCTATTAACGATAAGACTTGGTCATCGCTCAAAGCCTTGACCAGATTGGGTGGTCATCGCTTAAAGCCTTGACCGGATTGATTAGTTATCGCTCAAGTCTTGGTTGGATTAGGCGGTCATCGCCAAAGCCTTAGCCGGATTAGGTGGTCATTGCCCAAAGCCTTGGCCGGATAGAGTACTCATCACTCAGGCCTTGGCTGGATAGAGTACTCACTGCCCAAACCTTGGCCGGATAAAACCTTTCAACGCTTAGGCCTTGGACGGATAGTGTACTCATTGCCCAAAGCATTGTCCGATAAGGGTGTTCATCGCCAAAAGTGTTGTCAGATGAGTGTGTTCATCACCAAAAGTCGTCCGATAAGGGTGTTCATCGCCCAAAGCGTTGTCCGATGAGTATGTTTCAAGCTTTGACCATTATGTTTGTACTTTGTTTAAACCTTGTTAAATGGCGACAGTTGGCGGGTTTAACTGCGATAAATGGCGGGGCATCCACCATAGTTGGCGTGTTTAACCGTAAGAGATGGCGGGTCTAACCCCGATAATTGGTGGGGCATCCGCAATAGGTGACGGGTCTAACCATGATAAATGGCGGGGCATCCGCGATATTTGATGGGTTTAACCGTGATAGATGACGAGGCATCCGCAATAGTTGGCGGGATAACCGCGATAATTTTAACAGTTGAAATCCGGACTGAATTTATTAGCATCTTATGGCAAGTTTATACACGATGGAAATCCCTCACTATACATTTCGGTCTAACCCTCAGTTGTTGTAGATTTATTTTTGCTGGTCAACTCAAGTTAGAGGATAAAAACAAAGGAAAGATGTAACTGACTGTCGGTTTAGTAGTTTATATTATATCAGTTCTGGAGTTCAGAATTTTTACTAATATGTATGGATATAACTGATCTATTTGTATATATCAGAATTTGTTATATGTTATAAAATGGATTTTGAGATTTGGTTTTGTTGTACGGATGTTACACTAAAAAGATCCATTATTTGGTTCATGTGAAATCTTTTACAACTTAATTCATACCATCAATTAATAATGGTTGTAGGTTCATGATAATGACACTAAAACCATCAAATTTAATAATGATCATAAGTTCCTAATAATGACACTAAAATCATCAAAGTTAATAATCATTTAGGGGCTGTTTGTTTTTTAAAAAAAACCTCTTAATACTCTCTGAAGTCTGAATCGGTCAGACCTTAGGGTATTAAGGGTGTTTGTTTTTTCTTTCAATTAAGAGCTGAATTTGTGTGTTTTTGTCTGAATCGGTTAGATGTAAAAAAAACCTCTGAAAACCTCTTAATTTTGGATTCCCCTACCTCTCGATCTCGATCTCTCTCACRCAATCCACAGCAATCGGTCTCTCCACCCGCCACCACTCCGGCACCACCTCCCACCCTTTCTCCACCACACAAATCTCACCTGATCGATCTCGATCTCGCTCTGATTGCTCTCTCGATCTCGCTCTGATTGCTC